ATCAATCTTGTCTTGAAAGTTTAGGGTCGCAAGGCCTGGACTCTGAGGGGCCCCCGGTGCGTAGAGGTGTCCCTAAAGTCTCAAACTCATGCAACATAAGCATAGCAACTTATGAATTAGGGCGCATAACCTACAATGTTGGAGGTTTGGGGCTCCGGGCTACGTACAGGGTAGACCCCACGATCCGGGAGACAGGTATTGAAAGTCATTACAAGCACGAAAGCACCCAACCCACTGCTGTAAGAAGCACGACAGATAAGAAACAGCAAACCCCAAATCCTGAACCTTCAGCCCTAAGTTGTTTTTCTAACCCATGGCAAACCCTAGGACCTTACTTAAGCCCTCAAAGCCCTCAGTCGTCAATCCCGAAGCTCAGCCCCTGAAGCCGCAGGCCCAATTGTGAATTCTCTCATCCAACCCTAACCCTCCAGGTACCTACTATAAAGGGCCCTAGGGGCTCTAGTACCCTATATAGTAGCTACCGGGGGGGTTATGGCCCTAAACCCTAAACCCTAAACCCCCAACCCTAAACCCTAAACCCTAAACCCTAAACCCTCTCTCTCTCTCTCTCTATATATATATATATATAGATAGTAGGTACCTGGATGGTTATGGCAAGCCAGGGGCTTGATCAGTTGGGACATGCACGCCACCTCCGGCTCGACCTGTGCTTCTGTGAGGGCAGAGGCTGCTAGGCTGTTCGTCCTGAACCAGAGTTTAGGGTTTAGGGTTTAGGGGTTTCTAAAGCCTGAAGCCTGAACCCTGAAACAAACCCTAAGACCCTATACCCTAACACCCCAAACCCTAAAACCAGAAACCCCCAAGCTCTGAAACCTTGTTAGCGAAGGGCGGCAAACCAGATCTTCCGGAGGCAACCTGGAATATGCTAGGAGTTTCACAACCCCAAAGGTGCACGGTTCCTGTAATATCGGGGCCTCAATAGTTTAGATATTTTTGAGGGGGTATGATAGTATAAGCATACGTACAGGGCCTGAACAAGCAGAGGGTAGACCGTGACAACTTACTCCTACTCCAATAGTATAGCAGGTGTGGCCTTACCTACACAAGTACACTGTAGGGGCTTTGGGCCTTTAGGCTACAGTATCTGGGTAGGAGCTCTAGGGTCTCCGGAAAGGAAACATCGTAAGTACCTGCAATATATACAGACATGCCATACTGCCAAACCTCGTCGGAATACAAATACTTTCTGTCTGCTTCCTGGAGACAAACGAGCGATCTCCAAAGTAAGTAACTCTGAGGTCAGTGTAGTTGGAGGGACGTAATAACTCCAATAGGGCTTCGGGCTTTGGGGTATCATCTAGTTGGAGTATACAGGTTCTGCGGGAATCTTATTCTTACATTGTCCCGTAACCCTCATAAATCCTACAGAAACCCTATATCAGGTGAGACCTTCATATAGGCCTCGAAGATCTCGCCCTGAGAAGATTTCAGCGACAGCTTCTCCCCCTGTAGCGCATCCACGTTTTCGGGTTTCATGATCTTATATACGTAGGGCCTCGTGTTTAGGGGTACTTTCAGTAGAATCAGGAACCTATTAAATCCATACTGGTTCTTAAACCGTGGTTGTTTAGGGGCTCTTGCTATGAGGATCGCATTATCTAGGGTTCCATATCACGGTACCTTGTAACTTTAGGATGCAAAGCTTACTGACACCTCCATGGAGACATGCTCGAACTTATCATCGGGAAAATCCCTGAAACCCTAAACCGAAAATGCCACGCAAGATATGCATCGTACAAGGGAGACTTAGCATCAGCCCATGCCATGTCTCAGAAGCTACCTTTTTCGCTGGCGCGGTGCATCCTGCGGGGGTTAAACATGTCAGAGGGCTTTGGGATAAAAATTAGTAAAAGTAGCATAGGCACTAAAGGGGAACGTCATTACCAACTATTCCGACCCCTAGACTAGATTGAATACCTAGAGGAGCAGCTTTCTTTCTGGAAGCGTGGTAAGCAACTCGGAAACCGCACAAGTGTTTGCACCTATGCTGCCACGAAGTGCTTGCTTGCGGCTCCAGGGTGTTTCTTGCATTGGGCGGGTTCCTTAGACGAAGCAACTAATTAATCTAGGGGCCTTAATAATTACAAAAGGGCTTTGGGGCCCATTATACTACAAATAAAAGGAACCCCCAAAAATGGTATAGGTAATTCTTGAGGCCCCTAGACTACTGAAGCTGCAAGTAGAGACTCCAAGCCCTTCAATCTCCTGGCCTGCCGTCTCAGTATCGTCTGAGTATCCCAAGTAGATAGCACCCTGCATGGGTAGTACTATTAGGGGTACCCCTTA